GGCCTAGCCCTGCAGAGGGGGTTACACCCCTGGTCCTGGCGGGGGAGCGGCCCTGAGGGTGGGAAGGTGTGTTGGGTTTGGGTGGAGAGGGTGAAGCTGGCTTAGCTATCGCCGCCTGCTCACAAAACCTCTGTGCTCGGTTCGGGAGTCCCCACCGTCCCGCAGGCCGCCTCCTCCTGGGCCACCCTTGAACGTCATCCCCTTTCTCCGACTCCAGCGGACAGGTCATAGCGGCTAGAAAAGGACGCGGAGCTGACGGCCCTGGGGACCGGGTCCGAGGAACTGGGAGAGGAAATTGGAAACCCGTGAAGATCGGGAAGCGAAGAGACTCCAAGAGACAGAAGAAACCCAGTCTGAAAGGGGCGGAGCGAGGCGAGATGGGTCCGACGGGCCACCATGCCCCCGGGTCGCAGAGCAGCCCTGTCCCCCAGGTGCACAAGTTGGCTCAGCTCACAGCCTCTGGTTTCTCAGGGGCCGTCAGGCAGCAAGGCTCCGCGGGGCAGCACGCAGAAGGAAAGACTTTCCGGTGCACCCGTGCACACCAAGCACAGGCACAGGCCTCTGCGCGCAGGCACGCGCTGGGCTCTGAGCACGCGGGGCTCCGCACCCCTTGCCACCTGGGGTGGGTAGAAGGAAGGTGGGAGGAAAAGCACAGTGTGGACCTGGAATCCCAAAGGCAGCCCTGTCCCTGACTCTAATAAGCCTGTGGCCCAGCCTCTTAACTCCTGGGGCTCCCTCCACCCCATAAAGTGAGATACATACACCTGCAGTTCCACCCCCGTCAGGAGCCAGGAAAATGGTGGGTGTGAAAGCCCTTTAGTAACTGTAAAGCTCTGTAGGGAGTATTGAAGTCAGCTGAGGATGGGACTCCCGCCCTTGTCCTTTTCCAGGACCTGCCCAGCTCCCATGCTCCCCGCTTCCCACCAAAGTTGATCCCTTGCCGATCTCATTCCATTTTTATACTTTACCAGGTGAGGACTCCATAACCTGGTAAACTGAGCCCATTGGCTGAGTGTGATGAAATGGAGGGTCGTGTTCCTTGACTCCCACCCACCGCGTGGTTAAAAGGATAAGCCTCATCTCTTGAATTCTAGCTCCAAGTCAGCCAATAAAGTAACAGACAAATCACTCAACCTTTTTTTTGGGGGGGGGGGGGGTGTTTTAATAGAACTCCCCTTCCCCATTTCTGATTTTTGAAACTGCTAACACCGTAGGCATCTCCCAAAGCTGCAGTCAAGGTGGATATGCTCAATCGTGGGAAAGCACCTCAAAAAGTTAAAGGTATTGAAGGAAGTAGTCACTAGTGGCAGAAGGGAGATGCAACAACATCCTAATCCCTCCCCTTTTACCAGAAGCTTCAGCTTCTGCCTTCAGAAACTCTGGGACTGCCCTAACCGGTTTGGCTCAGTGGATAGAGCATCGGCCTGGCCTGCAGACTGAAGGGTCCCAGGTTTGATTCCAGTCATGGCATGTATCTTGGTTGTGGGCACATCCCCAGTAGGGGGTGTGCAAGAGGCAGCTGATAGATGTTTCTCTCTCATCAATGTTTCTAATTCTCTATCCCTCTCCCTTCCTCTCTGTAAAAAAATCAATAAAATATATTAAAAAGAAAGAAAGGAAGGAAGAAAGAAAGAGACTCTGAGACTGGTCCAACATTCATGTACTTCCAGTTCCCTCCATCATACTTGAAAGTTTCCCAAAGTTCCAATTCCCTAATATCCAAGTTATTCAGAGCAATATGTCACTGCTCGCTGGCCTGTCAAAAGCCATCTGGTTCTAAAATCACCATATTCAGGCTCCTCCATCCTGACTGTCCCGGAGGATAGGGGACAGTGGTGGTAAATTGAAAGATGACTGATTACTCTTCTGGCTGCCCTTCCCAGCAAAAGAACCAGAGGCATTCAGCATCCTTAAGTGCTCTGAGGATGCAGGGAGGAGGGCCATCACCCTGTGCTACATGCTTTGAAATCTGCCAAGGTCAAGGCCCGTGGGGGGTGGAAGAGTGATCAGCTAGTTGAAAGGCTTCTCAGGCCTGTAGCCACTACTGGTTCTAATATGTGTGAGCCATAGAACCACTTAGCATATTTGCAAAGCACTGTGGCTTAATCCTCACAACACCATAGGATGGGTGGGATTGTTTATTCACTTTATAAATGAAGAACATGGGTTCCACGACTTGGGCTAGGTCCCATCGCTGGCAAGGGACACTATCAGGTTTCAGACCCTATTGACCACTCACCCCTCAGAGGTCAAGTGTACCTTGTGAAAGCATGAAATCACTTTACAAGCTATAAAGCACAAAACAAATGTCAGTACTATAAATGCTGGAGATTTCCATTTGTAAACACTGTCTTGTACCTTGGGGTATTGGCTTTGACCCTCATGCTGGGCTTGTTTATTTGGACCTTTCATTTGGGAGAGCTTAGTGTTTGTCTTCCCTCTGGGACAGGTATATCTTACTGTCAACAGGGTGCTACTTTTGATCTGTGTCATTTCAGTTGGGCCCATTTTCTACTGCAGGGCCCTCCCCATTCTCCCTTTTCTTTCCCACTATTTCCCCACAATGGACCACCACCAAGGATCTTCTTCCCAGGTCTTCTGAAAACTGCTGCCTCTCAGGATTCTAGAGACTAGGACTTCCTCCTCCAGATCTGTGAGTTTTGACTGTTCTCTCTGACCCCCCTGCTCCTAATGCTTAGTCCCCTTCCCTCCTCCTGACACAGTGACTGCCCCTCCTCTATCTGGCAATTCCCCAATCTCCAAGTCAAGTCTTAACTTTCCAGGATATCTGCAGCTATGTATGGAACATCTGCACTTGGATGAGAGCAGTGAAATGAAAGACATAAAAGTGCTTTACAGGAACTGAGCTGGTATCTCATATACTCTGTCGTACAAGCTTCATGCCAAGCTCCTTTTGCATACAGGAAGGAGACCAAAGATCAAGGGTTCAGTTATTGGCCCACAGTCACAGAGCCAGAGTGCCTAAAAGCCTTACACAGAATTATAGCACTGAAGAATCATCCGGTATTACAGATGCCACACGCTCACTGGTGACTCATGGTTTCTTCATCTGTAAAGAGGACATAGTACCTAACTTCCAGTAAAGATTGAATAAGATAATGTTTGTAAAATGCTTGGCATAGCATAGAAATTCAATTAATGGTAGATATTATGATCTAGCCAACTGGATAAGCAATTCTCCAATGGGGTGTATTACACTTTGTACTATGGAATTCAGACATAACTGAAGACTCTTGTTTATTATTCTTTCAGGACTGTCACAATGCTAGGAACTTCATGAATCAGGGAACAGAAAGTTGGAAAACCACTGAGCCTGACCATAAACTCTTTTAGAACAGGGTTGACATCACAGTTATCTATATATTGAACTAAGTTATTTGGTACTTAGTTCAGGTCTTGGCACACAGTGAATTCTTAATAAGTATGTTACAAATGAATGAATGAATTATTTCAATCTATTTCTGCATTGGGGAGAGTGAGGCCAGACTGATTATCAAAGGTAACTCAATTGGGGCTAGCAGGGTTCAGGTCAAGATGGCAGAGTAGGACGCTGTACTACACTGTACTACCTCCTTCCATGACCAAGCCAAAATTACAACTAAATTATAGAACAACCAACCTGGATAACCATCTGAAGACTAGCCGAAGTCCTATAACTAAGGATATAAAGAAAAAGCCACATTGAGACTGGTAGAAAGGGTGGAGAGGCAAAATAGGCTGTCCCCACACCCACATGTGGCAATTAAGAATCCAGAGGAGCCCTAACCAGTTTGGCTCAATGGATAGAGCATCGGCCTGTGGACTGAAAGGTCCTAGGTTCGATTCTGGTCAAGGGCATGTACCTTGGTTGCGGGCTCGATCCCCAGTAGGGGGTGTGCAGGAGACAGCTGATCGATGTTTCTAACTATTTCTCTCCCTTCTTCTCTGTAAAAAAATCAATAAAATATATATATTTTTAAAAAAAGAATCCAGAGGAATATCTCAGCTTCCGAGGTTCTCCCTGATCAGTCCCATCCCACATGAGGCTCCCGAGCCCGGAACACCAATGCAAGAAGAGAAGCCCACATAATATCTGGCTGCAAAAATCAGTGGGAATTTCATCCATCCAAGTGAGAGAAGCCTTGTTGGAAACGCAGGTGTTTCCTTAAAGAGCCTGCACACAAACTCTCATTTGCAGGCCCTCACCCTGGGCTCCAGGAGAGGGACAGTACCAGGCAGGGTGGGAAAAGTGTGTGCCAGAGACCTACAAGGAGAAACTGATATCATACTATGCTAGAAGGCTATAAAAAAGTAATGAAAATAGCATGGTACTAGCATAAAAACAGACACATAAATCAATGGAACAAAATACAGAGCCCAGAAATAAAACCATGCCAATATGGTCAATTAATCTATTGTAGAGAGCGCCTGGGAAGCACATGGGCATTTCTTTAATTATTGTCAGCTGAATCCAGTGGCATTGGCAGAGCCACGTCCTGGAAACACGCCTTGCCAGAGGCAGGAGTGTTGTCAGCTCAACCGTCAGCCCAGGCCCCAGGGGGTGGGTTTCCGTTATCCCTCATATTTAAAATACCGCACTTGGTATTTTGTGGAAGAGCCACACTCAAGGGGCCAAAGAGCCGCATGTGGCTTGAGAGCCGCGGTTTGCCGACCACTGGGTTAGAGCATTGTCCAGATACATCAAGGTTTCAGGTTCAATCCCTGGTGGTCAGGGCACATACAGGAATCAAACAACAAAGGCATAAATCAGTGGAACAATAAGTCAATAATCATATTTCTCTCTCTTCCACCCTTCCTATCTCTCAAAAATTAATAAATTAGAATTTTTTTTAAAAGTGAAGGGAACCTGGCTGGTGTGGCTGAGTGGTTGAGCATTGACTTATGAACCAGGAGGTCCTGGCTCGATTCCCAATCAGGGCACAGGGCTGGGCTGCGGGCTTGGTCCCCAGAGGGGCGCGTGCAGGAGGTAGTTGATCAATGATTGTCTCTCATCACTGATGTTTCTATCTCTCTCTCCCTTTCCCTTTCTCTCTGAAATCAATAAAAATATATTTAAAAAATAAATAAATGGTGAAGGGATTAAGAAGTACAAATTAGTAGTTGCAAAATAGTCACAGGGATGTAAAGTACAGCATAAGGAATATAGCCAATAGTACTGTAATAATTATGTGTAGTACCAGGTGGGTACTAGAATTATCAGGGGATTGCTTGGAAACTACGTAACTGGCTGATCACTATGCTGCACACCTGAAACTAATATAAAATAATATCGAATGTCAACTCTAGGGAAAAAGGCACTTGGAGGTTGAATTGTGTTCACCAAAAAGATATATTGAAGTCCTAACCCCTAGCACCTGTGAAAAGTGACCTTATTTCAAATAGGTTCTTTGCAGATATAAACCAGTTAAGGTGAAATCATACTGAATAAGAGTGGGCCCTAATCAAATATGACTGGTATCCTATAAGAGGAAAATTTGGACACAGACACAGAGGGAGAATGTCATGTGACAACAGAGGCAGAGATTGTGGTGTTGCAGCTGTAAGCCAAGGATTGATGGCCAACCCCAGGAGCTAGAAGAAGAAAAGAAAGATTTCTCCTAAAATGCCCTAGCTGATTTGGCTCAGTGGACAGAGCATCAGCCTGTGGACTGAAGGGTCCTGGATTCGATTCTAGGCAAGAGCATTTACCTTGGTTGCAGGCTGCCCACACCCCCCCACCCCCCAAGGCCTGTGCCTGGTCAGGGCACATGCAAGGCAACCAATCGATGTGTCTCTCTGACATTGATATTTCTCTCTCTCTTTCCCTTTCTTTTCCACTCTCTCTCTCTGAAAATCAATGGAAAAATATCCTCAGGTGAGGATTAAAAAAAAAAAGACTTCATAGGCATAGGGAGTCTGCTAACACCTCGATTTTGACCTCCAGAACTGTGGGATAATAAATTTTTGTGGTTTTAAGTCTCCAAATGAGTGCTACTTTTTTATGGCAGTCCTAGGAAACTAATTTAGCACCCTTTCTTCCCATGCTGGATGCAACCCCACTTCCAGCTCTGTAAAGAAAACCCCCATTCACTCCCACCCCCAGCTGGGTACTTGATGCAGGGCCCAAC